GGCACACAGCTAGTAAGTGATGGAGCCAAGATTCAAATCTACATATATTTGACTTCAAAACTTTTGCCCATTCCACCACAGCAGCTTAACAGAAGGCAATCTCCAGTGATTTTCTAATTTTGATCAGTAAATACTTGTTGGGTGAATGAATGATGTCTTGCCAATGGGTTTCAGCCCCGGGCAAGTACACTACGGTTTCAGTGTGACCAAAGAAAATGACAGCAAAACATTCTCAGGGTGAAAGGGTTATACCCAACTTTATTTCCAGGTGGCAGGTCAGACACTGGAATCCTGTTCACTCGGAGTGAGTCTGCATGCAGCAAGCCACTCTCTGCCACTGGGCCCCTCTGTCCACACAGCCATCCCTCACAGCCATCCTCCGTGACTCTCTGCAGTTGTCCTGCACAGCCATCCTCTGGGCCTCTGCCCTCGGCACTGTCACCACCCCAGCCTCTGCTCTCCTGCAGCCTTGCAGCCCTCTCGCTCTGGCATGCCCAGAGCACTGGGCAGAGCTCTTTATATACAGTCAACAGCCATGTATTGCCCACAGGTGTGCAGTGAGCTAGTCAACCACAGCCAGGTGAAAATCCCGGCCACAGGAACTCTCAGTTAATTCACACTCCACCCCTCCAGGATTCTTTCTCTCAATCTCTGTGCCCTTAGTCCTCTGCAATGGTGCCTGTGCAAGGAAGCTCGAAGATTGTTCTCCAGCCTCTCCAGCAGGAAGTCTTGCAGACACACAGGCCGGACTCATGGCTCTGTCTCTGACCTCTGCCTCTTTGGTCTTAATGGCTGGAACTGCTGCTCTGGTTTCAGCTGTTGCCTATAGCTCCAGTAAGATCCTATTTGGCTTCCGGTCTAATTTCCTTCCATCTACTCCTGACCGTATCAAATCAACCCACATCTGGGTCCTCGTAACCCTCATGAGGCCCCTCAAATTCCTCCTGTGAGTAACAGGTCTTATTTCTTTTCGGGTTCTCGTTGCTTCAGCTACTGTATGTGTCACCTCGCATTTTGTAATCACTGCCTCAAGGCGGGCTGCACTGTCAGGGAAGACAACTCTCCCATCTCTGATCCTGACAAAACAATTCCATCCTCCCCTAAGTCCCACAACCACAGGCTCAGCCTGAGTATAGGGGTGGAGCATAGAGTGCTCCACGACCGGGGGAGGGAGCTGTTCCTCTTCTTGGGGAACTTTCAGCTGCTGGGTCTTTATTTTCTTTACAACCACTGGGCATGCTTTCAATACAGGTGGGGCCAGTGCCTCCAGCACTACCCCTTCATCCTTCCCCAGCTCCTCCATTTCTGGGACTGACAGCACCTTTCTCTCCACCCCCCCCCCCACCTGAGTGCCTCCTCTGCTACAGTGCTGCAACAATGCCAGCTCAGTCCTCAGGTCTCTTACCTTCAGCTCAATGCTTCGCAGCTGACGTTCTTGTGCCACTTCCACCTGTGCTTCCCTCAGGAGTTAGTCTTATTCTTTGATGGCCTCTTCCTCCTTCAGAACACCTGGCAGTGCTGCCATCTCACCTCCAATGGCACCTCGCTGCTGGCGCTCTCCTGCTGCCTCCTCCTGCATCAAGGCCATCTCCTTCCTCAGGGAATCCACAGAAGTTTGCAGCTTGCATTCTCATGCTGCCATTTCTTGGGTCTCCTCTGTAGACTGTTTTAATACTGTGAGAAACAGCCAACCCACAGTCCCCCCTGCCTCCCAGGCACTCTGCTTCTCAAAGAATCTACTTACTATACCAAGAGCCACCCCTACTGCTTCAGGTGTCACCTCCACTTGTCTCCATTCTTGGGGTGGGGCCCAGTCCTCTAGGAAGCAAGCCACCTCAGACCACATACCCATTGGGGGATGATCCACTGTCTCCCCATTCACAGTTGCAGCCTGCTGAAGCACTGCTCCCATAAGGGCAGTCTGTCTTTTTCCTTGGTCAACAGTGAACCCTGCCAACTTTCACCAATTGTCTTGCCAATGGGTTTCAGCCCTGGGCAAGTTCACTATGGATTCAATGTGACCAAAGAAAATGACAGTAAAACGTTCTTGGGGTGAAAGGGTTATACCCAACATTATTTCCAGGTGGGAGGTCAGTCACTTAAATCCTGTTCACTCAGAACAAGTCTGCATGCAGCAAGCCAGTCTCTGCCTCTGGGCCCCTCTGTCATCACAGCCATCCTCTGGGCTCCTCTGTCTTCACAGTTGGCCCTCACAGCCATCCTCCGGGCCTCTCTGCACAGTCCTCCTGCACAGCCAGCCTCTGGGCTCCTCTGTCCACACAGGCATCCTGCACAGCCATCCTCTGGACCTCTCTGCATAGTCATCCCTCACAGCCATCCTCCGGGCATCTCTGCACAGTCATCCCACACAGCCATCCTCCAGGCCTCTCTGCATAGTCCTCCTGCACAGCCATCCTCTGGGCCTCTGTCCTCAGTGCTGCCACCACTCCAGCCTCTGCTCTGCTCTCCTGAAGCTTTGTAGGCCTGCCACCATGTCACGCCCACAGCACTGGGCAGGGCTCTTTTTGTAGAGTCAGCAGCCATGTATTGCCCACAGGTGTGCAGTGAGTTAGTCAACCATGGCCAGGTGAGAATCCTGGCCACAGGAACTCTCATTTTATCCACAATGAATAATGAAAGGAAGTAGCTCATGTACTACAGCAGAGTCAGGATCCACAGTGGTATATGTGTGTGTGCATGTGGAAGAAGTCCTTGGGCACATAAAATTGGTGGAGGGCAGTGGGAAGAAGGAACCTACCATCACTGAGAACCCCCACATGCCAGGAACTGTGGCAGGGACATTCATAGATTCTGTTTCACTCAGTCCTTACAATGATCCTGAGTCACATATTCTCCAGTATCTCAGTCCTCTGAATATCAGTCTGCCCAACTCCAAAGCTTATCCTCTTTCCACTATATTGATCTACACTGGAAACCTCTAAATTAGAAGCCAAGAGGGAGGAAGGGACTGGTAGGAGTGTATGTGGAAGAAGTTATAAGAGCTGAGATTGAGCACTAGAAGACAAACTGAAGTCCTTCAGGCCCTGAGTAAGATGGAAGCAAATCAGGTAGTAAATGTAATAAGAATGAAATAATAAGAGGAACTAAATGACAAGTAGCCTCCCAAATGGGATCCTGATGTCAGCTTTCTTCCTAGGGATATTTTTAGCCCAAGTATCTGTTTGGGACCCTGAGAAACAGAGCTGCAGCGTGGGAGCCACTTATATCTCAGAGGTGAGAGTTGTTGCTGAGGTGATGGCAGGACCTGTGCCAATCTCAGCAGCACAGTTTTCCACCATGGCCTATAAATAAGCTCAGAGCAGTCTCCAGGGTAAGTATTACCCTGGCCTTGCTGGGCCCTCTAAAGGGGCTGTCACCTGCTCCAGACAATCAACAGGCTGGTGGAGGGAGGCAAAACTATGCGCTTGGCAATGAAATGGTAGCAGCTGCTAAAAAACCTCTGAATTACAGAGGTATGGGCTCACTTCCTAAGAGGGAGGGAAGAGGGGAACAGCTATGACTAGATCCCCTGCATTTGTCTCCTTGGCCTGACCTCCCAGGGGATTGTGAGAGAGTAACGTATTCTCAGACAGAGGACTTACAAAACATAGCAGGCATCTGTTGCTGCCTTGATGACTTCATTTGTGCCTACCACCTGCAGTCTCTTTATGGTGGGAAGGAGGTGGCCAGAAATCTCAGTACAGGTGAGCTTGAATGGAACTGAGGCTTGGCATTCCAATACTTAAGACTTTTCTCTACAACTGGAGTAAAATCACTCTAGCATAGTGGAAAGTCAGGAGGCTGAAACCCTCAATCATAACTCTGTTATGAACTGACTTAATGACCTTTCCCAGTCTCAGCCGATTTCCTCATTCACAAAACAAGAGGACTGAGCAACCTCTAAGTACTCTACTAGTTCTAACAATGAAGGATTATCTGTCTTCAGAATTCTTTTCTCTTTCCTTAACCACCTCCCTGGATTTAGGGGATTTCTGAGGGAGATGATGCCACAAAAGACCCAAGCCTATGATTTCTTCCTGTAATGCTGGCAAGGAACTGCAAGGTTGGAAATAAGATCCAAGTCAGAACATCTCACATGTCCTCCACATGGAGGTAAGGAGAGTAAAAGAGAAAAGAAAAGAAATAGCAGGTCCAGAGCAGCTACACAGCCATTGGGGTTGAGGGAACTTTTAGGGCATGGGGAAGTGGTACCAGGGCTCCCAGAATTTGTAGATACAGTAGAAAACTTTGGAAAGGAATGCTGTGAGGGCTTGTGTGTCCTCAGCATTCATGCAAATTATGTTGCTGCAAAAACGATTGGGGGTGGGGCCTGGTGGTTATCAGGGTGTGATAAAATGCCCATAGTAAGAAAGTATGAAATCTCCCTGTCGTGGCAGAAAATGCAGCTTTACTTGTGAGTAACAAAGAGTGTAGCTGAGTCTGAAAGGGTGAAATCCTGAAGCTCTGGGAGGTAGCTAAAGTGTTGGTAGGGGGAAGACTCTGGATTTTGAGTAGGTTAAATGAAGCTGCCTTGTGCCTTGAGGGTCTTTCCATGGTCTGTGGTCAGTGAAGGAGGAGGAGGACCTGGGATCCACAGGAAGTAAGTCCAGGCAAGACACAAGGCTAGGATGACTTCATGGAGGGGTGAGACTTTGGGACTGATCTCTTTGAGGCCAGGAGGGTGTATATATGAGCACTATGAAGAGGGTGGAAGGGAGGAATGGGAACTCATAAAACCTAGAAAGTATACAGAGGGCCTGGGCAAAAGAATGAGGCCTTGGGAAGATGGGATATTTGAATGTTTCAAGTGAAAGAGTCCCAATAATGAGCATATTTGCATTTTAGAAGAGCATGGAGACAGAAAAGCATATACCAAGGCATTGGGGAGTACTGCGGGGTGAGGGGTGAGGAGGAAGGAGGGTAAATATCAACACAGTCTGTCTATGCAAAAGGCCTGCATAGCATGTCCTGTGGCAGAAAGCAGGGCATAAATGGCATACCTGTGCAAAACTTCCTGGGTCTCCTCCAGCCCACTTGATCCAACTCCATAGAGATGCTCTGTGAGACAGGCAGAGAGTGGCATTTTTCCAGAATTTTTAGGGGTGGAGTCCTTGGTGATGTTTCAGATGGAAGAAAGAACACCTGCAAAGAGTATTATCAGGATTAGTTACTCAGTGGGGCTGGAGCATGGAATAAAGATTATTCAGCAGAATTTCTAATTTGAAATATCATTTGGTCCAGCCCCTAAATCCCGGCAGGGTTACCATGTATCATCAATAAATGCAAGCAAAGATCCAACTGCCAAAAGTCTAAAAGACATAAGGCAGTGGAGAAAACGAAAATCAGACAACTGATTTAAAGAAAATAGTATCTATTTGTTTCTCTTTTCTTCGTCATTTTGTGTGTGTTCAGTTTGTATTGGGATGGGAGAGTAAGGATTCTGCATTTACTATAGACTTCAACCTTTACTCAGTGTGGAATCACAAGCAAATGAATTCAGCTCTCTGAGTCTCAGTTTCCTCATCTGCGTAAGAGGGATAGTGATAGCACCTACTTTGCTGAGTTGCTAGGATGGCAAAATAAGAAAATACACATAAAGCACATAATGAAGTTTTTTCAGAGTGTGAGTGAGATTGATTGAGAGAGAGAAAAACTCTTTCTTGCTAGGAGCACATCTTAGCTAAGACCAAGTCCAAGTCCTCTCCTTTGATATCAATGTAACCAGTTGTTTTCATCCCAAATCCTTTCTTTTCCAAAATTCTGATCTCTAAAAGGAAAATGGGGAAAGGAACTAACATCTGTGAAATACCTGTGGAGTACCTGGTATGTATCAATATCCTTCTGTGTGTACTTGTGTATGTTATTTCATTCAGTCTTCACAACTATTCCATAAGGTAGATAGTAGTCAATTTTACAGTAGGGAAACCAAGGCTCAGAAGGGATAAATGAGTTGCACAGGGTCACACAACTAGTAAATGATAGGTCTGTCTGACTAAAGACCTGCCACACTGCCTTTCAAGGCAAGACAAAAATAGTTCCTGGGCTCCTATATCCTTCAAGTTCCTCCTCAACACTGCTAAGTCACTATGAATATGATACAGGTTTCCTCTACCTATATCATTCATCTCTAACAGGGTTGGATGTGGGGAGCAGTTAACAGTTTGGATGACTAAGAAAGGGTTTCTATCCAATGCTAACTGAATTTCCAAGGGGACAGACCAGCCACCAAAGTTGGTTCATCCTTATGTACAGAAAACGTCACTGGGTAGCACTGAAAACAGAGCTGCAGAAGGTAAGAGAGACTGTAATGAATCTGTATGGATCCTAAGACATGGTCTCAAGGTTACTTTTTACCACTCTCCCAAACCTAACTTGTGTACTTTGTATCATAGACCCATAAACTGTTAGAGCTGGAAGGCCTCTTAAAGGTCATACAATCTAACTTCCTATTTGAACAGATGGGGAAAAAAAACTGAGGCCAAGCAGTGGAAGGAACTGGGCACTGAATTATTTTGATTCTGCATTGAAGGAAGGGAAGCTACCAACAGAGCATGCAATCAAGCTCTGTGGTAAGATTTTCAGGATACCTGCCCCCAAATCCTCCTCCCTCTATAAGACCCGAAGATCTCCACCTCACTAGTCACAGTGGCTGACAGTCCACCAATTTCAGCATCATTTGTGGGGGTAGGGGTTCACCCTTCTTTGGGAGGATTAAAACAGACCTCCATATGAATTAGACTAGTCAGATTGCTTTCCAGCCTGTACTTGGGGTCAGAGATCTGGTTTGGGGAACAGAAGATGTATTAGTTTCCTAGGGTCACCATAGCAAATTGCCACAAACTGGGTGGCTTAAAGTAATTGGAATGTATTCTCTCACAGTTCTGGAGACAAGAAGTTTGAAATAAAGGTATCAGCAGGACCATGTTCTCTCTGACATCTCTAGGGGAGGATACTTCCATGCCCCTATTTCCTGGTGGCTTTCAGAAATCGTTGGCATTTCTTGGCTGGTAGCTGCATCACTCCAGTGTTTACCTCCATCATCACATGGCCTTCTTCCCTGTGTCTTTGCCTGTGTTTGTGTCCAAATTTCCCTCTTCTTATAAAGATATCAGTCATAAGATCAGGGTTCATCCTAATCCAGTATGACATCATCTTAACGTGATTCGTCTGGAAAGACCCTGTTTCCAAACATGATCACACTCACAGGTAATGAGGGTTAGGAATTGAAGATATATTTTGGTGGACACAATTCTAACCAATACAGAAGAACACAGCCTTTTGGAAACTGAAACTTTGAGAGGGACAAGAATTAAGCAGCTTGAAGCTTAGAGGACAGGGGCAAGGAGCCCGCAGAACAGGAAGAGGGTAAGAAAAGAAAGGCAAAAGGCAGTCATTTGTACTTTTGCTAAGGCCCATCTGAATTAAGGTTATAATCTCTGTAGCCCCTAATGTCTTTAAAGAATATCTACTACTACTGGATGCCCAAACTGGGACTCCTGTAGTATCAATTTCACAATTTGGTATATCCAGAAACATCCTGATGTAGTACCCATTTTTGACTTCACTCTTCTTTGTTGAGTGTCCCTGAAGGTCTGGATGGCAGAACCCACAGCAGTTGGGGGCAGTCTTGCTGACCTGGGGAGTGCCCTGCCCACCCCCTTCTTTGCACTGTGCCAGGAGGCCAATAGGAAGGAGGAACTGAATCCATAGAGTAGGGGTTAATGGTGATGGGGAAAGAGGGCACAAGAGAGAGGCCAGAAGAGCTGGCAATTTGGTTGGCAAAACCAGACTATTGTTTCCTTTATAGTCCATAGGTGTGCCACTAGCTTTGAAATGTACAGCAGCTAAGGGACTGGGGAAATTTGGCTTAATAACTCTCAAGAGACCACAGAAAGGAATCAGGGGCCATGTAAATCCAGCACTGACATAAAGGCCAGGATCTCTGTGTTCTGATCCCACATCTACCACTGACTTACTTTGTATCCATAGGCAAGGCTCAGTCTCTTCAGCTGTGAAATGGGGACAGTAGTCACTGCCCTAGCTGCTTCTCAGTATAGTTATGAGTATCATTTATAGGCAGAAGCATAATAAAATTGAATGGTGATCAGATTAATAGAACAGGGACACTGGCGGGGATCAAATGAGATAACAGAAGTAAAAGCACATAGTAGGTGTTCTGTATATCTACATTTTCTTTTTTCCCTAGTAAGGAAGCAGGAGAGACTTCTTATTTCCGGTTGATAAATGAAGGAAACCAAGAATCAAAGTGGTTATATGACATATTCAAACTCACAAAGCCAATAAAATAAAAGAGCCAGGGCTTTGAAACTAGGCGTTTTGACTACAACTTCAATGTTTTGTTTCTCATGTATCATGCCTCAAGTTCCACATTTGTTGTTGCGAGCTGCTCGATTGGGTGAAATGGGAGTGAACAAAAAACACAGACAACAAAGACAGACAGACAATGGCTGCAGCAGTCCCGATGTGGCGCAGCTCCTTTATTTTTATACTGCCTTTCTCGGACCTCAGCCAAATGCTATACGTATCTTTCCCTACTCAGGGAAAACAGGCCAGACATCTTCTTGATTTCTTAGAATCTTCCCAGTAAGCAGGGGTGGTGTTTTCTCACATTCCCAAGGTCTCCCTGTTTTCAGAATGAGGCGTCCTGGCTCCTTTTCGAGGTCAAGATATGTTTTTGTGGGCAGATAACTTCCAAGGACTGCATCAGTTGTTTTCAAGCTGGTGCTTCCCCATTCTGTGTTCAGACATGGGGGAAGACAAAGGCTGTCCCCTACATTTGTCATATGGGAATAATGATAATAATAATGACAATTATAAGTAGAGTAGTTTTGAAAATCAATTTATATATGGGATAGTACTCTGCAAAGTATAGAGTCCTGTACAAATCTAAAGAGTGCTTATGATCTTCCCCTTCCTCCTTCATCACTAAGGTGTTAACTGATGACAGGCTTGAGATACAGTCCCGTCCTGTAACATTTGCTTTTAATAACTAATGCAAATAGCTAACATTTATTGTGTAATGACTCTTGGCATATACTGTTATAAGCACTTATGTACATTTACTTATTTCATCTTCTCAACAACCCTATGAGATAGATATTATTTTCATCTGTATTTTAAAGATAGACCCTGACCCATAGGGTAGTTGTAGGATGAAATGAGTACATACATGTAAAATGCTGAGAACAGTGCCTAGACACATAGTAAGTACTGTGTAAATGTCAGCTATAATTATTAGTATTACTCTCCTCATTTTCCTAATGCAAGGAGTGAGGCACAAAGAAGTTTCGATCCTCATTGACATTTGATAAACCCCAAATGAAGGGTTCTGAAGAGACAACGTCATCCCTGCCTCTAACATTGAGACAGGGACCATGGGATTAGGCAGAGTAGGGTGAGGGCCTCTGGAGAAAAAACAGAGCAAGATAATTACCATCAGAACAATATAGCAATGTGCAAAGAAGTCCCTATTGAAACTCTGTGATAAGCATTACACAAAGTCAGAGTCACACTAATTCTCTAGGGTAAAGATACCAGACTAGGAATATAGACATCTTCAGTGAGATCAGTTAAAGCTCAAAAAGCCAGCAGCAGCTTGGCCTGGAATGTTTGAGTGTTCTACAGATAAAAAGAAGTGTCTCAGCATAACCCGTGACTTAACTGTATCAATTAGATCATGACACTGTAAAATTTACCTTAGCCTACTAAAAGGCCCAACTTATTTTAACCATACCTATGTGCTATATTTCCTTCTCTGATTCTAACCCAGTAATCTGCAACCTAGGAAAAAGACTAATTTAGTAAGCAAGTCCAACTATAAATAGCTCAAGAAGTTTCTTAACTTACTTCAGCAAACAAGTAACAACCCAGCCCACCTTGGGGACAGGGTAGGTAATCCTAATCGACATACTCCCAGAGGGAAACTGCTATCTTGAGAAAGAATCAGAGCAGAAAATTTATTCTGTTACTCATCAAGAATGAGCATTCTGAGACCACTCAACAAGTCTGCACCCCTAACCCTTTACCCTCATTCCTGAAAATCCTCAACCACGCATAAAACCCCTAGACATTGAGCCAACTATGGACTCTCTTGTCCCCTCCTGGTATGAGCCAGGAGCTCTGTCCTTTCACTTTCTCTCTAAACAAAAGCTTGTATCTTGCTCTCCTACCCTGAGTGTTTGTGAAGCTCATTCTTCGGATTCGTGAACTAGAACCCCGGCATCAACATCATCCCCTGAAATTGTACCCACTCCTGGGCTGCAAGAACAGCACCAGGCTTGACCCTGGCTAAATCTAAGCCAAAGCAACTACAGTTTCAGGGCCACTTAGCTGTGGAGGATTGGGTGAATAGAACTCAAAATTAAAACACCTACAAGAACCCAGTCACAGACATTTCCCTGGGAAACAAAAAAGAACCTGAGCTATTCTGCTAGCCCGGTTTTCACCTCCGTTTGCATTTAATGATCCATTACAATCGTGTGGCCTTTGCTACTTAACAATGCATTGCTTTCATACCCATTATCTCAGTTAGACCTGTAGGTTGCCTGAGGGAAGGCTGAGGATTTCCAGTTTGCAGAGAAGGCTGCTAAAACGCAGAGGGAGAAGGGAGTTTGTCAGTAGGATTTCTGGCAGAGCTGAGACTAGAACTCTTGAAGGTCCTACTCACCTTCCATTTTCTGTGTGTAAGGGGAAATCCTTCCTCTTCTCTGGGACTCAGTTTCCCCATCATCTGTAAAATGAAGTTGTTAGGCTGAAAGACAGACATGAGCAGAGTGGAAAGAGAGTAAAGAACTCAAACAGTTAATCATATAAGAGCCAGAAAGGACTCACAGAGTTAATTAGGCAGTTTCAAGAGCCAGGTGTGACTCAAAAGGTCCATACATTCCCCAAATGAAAAACAACCCCCCAGATAAAGAAAAACATCAGTGTACAGGTACAGCAAACATCAGAGCACAACCCATGTCTTCATTTCATCAAACAGATAAGGCCTTCAAGACCAAGAATTGTAAATCAAGGACTTCTCTGCTCTGCCAAAAACCCCATAAAAGAAGCTTCACAGTAGGCGGTGAAGGCCTAACATAGGCAAGCCTGCTCTGTTACAGAGCATAATAAAATTTGCTTTCCTTTCTTGACTTTGGTGTCATGTCTCACTCTATCTAACTTCCCTGTGTCATCAAACCAGACTCCTTCCTAACAAAGTGACTGGATCTGATGGTCAACAGCACACCTGACCTACATCAACGTCCCCTGACATTCAGCTTTTACACTCCACTTTGCTTTTCCTCCGAACCCTAGTCCCTGTCTGGCCTGGTGTTAAACACCCCAAGGAAAGACAGCCAGCATCTCCTGAGCAACCAGCAGAGGGCAAATTAAGCCAGCCAAGGAAAGCCATTATGAAACCAGCCACTAGACAGCAAGGAATCTCCCATTGGACTCAGAGAATCATAAAGGCTTAGCAGGAGGAAAGAACTAGAGAAGGGTAAGGAGGAAAGATCCTCAGGAATTATCTGCTGCAGATTCTCTAGCTCAGATAAAGAAACTGAGGTCCAGAGAGGGGAAGGACCTGTGTTATGGTCACAAAAGAAGTCAGAGATATAAATGAGACTAGAAGCCAGATTCCTGACCTTAGACACGGTTCCTTCAACTGCATTAACCAGCTGCTGCTATAGTACTGTCTTGAATTGTTTCTCTGGCTGCATGTTGTCACACTTATTAATAATTTACCAAATTTCAATAATAATGACAACAACTACCACTTTCTGCATGCCCACAACATGTGATGAATAGTGCTAGGCTGAGCACCTTACATACTCTGACTCCTTTTGTTAGAGTGGGTAGATAGCCAAATGTGAGAAGGGAGGGGGAGGTAGATCCCATGGACTCTGTTCTCAAAGAATGTGGGGAGTGAAAATGTACATAACAAAACAACCAAACCATCTAGTTCCAAGGTGGGGAAGTTGACCCAAACTTCACCCTAAAATACATTATACATACATTAGCATAGTAAAAATCATGACTCCTCATGCCATGACAGTTCTGATAAGAACCAAAGGTAGCCAAAACTCCCCCTCCAGACATGAATGTTGAACAAGCCCTAACTCTGAGAACTTCAAGAAGACCCTGCCTGTTCCTTTTGAAATCTACCTCCACCTAGGAGACATTCATCTCCCTTTACATAAAAAAGGACTCTATTGTTTCCTTGGTGCAACCTTCTCTGGGTCTGCCTGTGCCCATTTCTCAGACATGTACTCTTGCTTTTCTTTAAACTCTTATTTTCCAAGTAACTCCTAAAGCTCAACACTTTTGCATCCATTCTTGAATTCTTTCTCATGACAAGACCAAGGACCCATCTCCAGTAACACTTTGATTCCCCGCAACAGCCATTTTAGGTAGGGAGTATTTTGGCCCATTTCACAGATGAGAGGGAAAATCAAACTCAAGCCTTTGTGTCTCCAAAGCTCATGCTTTTAGAGAAACTGCAAGGCATCCCTCTGCCTAGCTCACACAACCCCCAATAAAATGTTGTGCTCATATGTGGACCTATTCCTAGCAAGCGGTAGCTTTGGACATGCAGTACCCAAGTGCAAGTATCAGGTAATGGAGTCATTAGGTATGTTTCTGTGCTTGCTTGCTTGTTGCTATTAAAACCACTAAAAAACTGCAATACAATTACTCCCAAAGATATTATGCCAATTTTTATGTCCTTAAAGCTATATTTATCAAAAATGATAAATATAGAAAAGAAAATGCTTATAAACATATTAATGTCATTCTCAGAAAAAGTTGGCTATAGTTTCTGTCCTGTTGGAGACCAAGATATCTGAAAGTAAGAAGTGAGAGAAGACAGGTTGAGAATTATCAAGCTACACCACCCTACTGCCACGACGACCAAGAAGAATTTTCATTAACTACCCTAAAAAAAATATTTTGCTCTAAAATTATCTGCAGGAACTATAGTATACCATTTTTTTTGGTATCATTAATCTACAATTACATGAGGAGCATTATGTTTACTAGGCTACCTGCTTCACCAAGTCCCGCCCACAAACCCCATTACAGTCACTGTCCATTAGCGTAGTAAGATGCTGTAGAGTCACTACTTGTCTTCTCTGTGTTGCACATACCAACCTGTGCCTCCCCCGACATTATACATGCTAGTCGTAATGACCCCTTACTTTTTTACCCCCCTTATTCCTCCCTTCACACCCATCCTCCCCAGTCCCTTTCCCTTTGGTAACTGTTAGTCCATTCTTGGGTTCTGTGATTCTGTTGCTGTTTTGTTCCTTCAGATTTTTCTTTGTGCTTATACTCCACATATGAGTGAAATCATTTGGTACTTGTCTTTCTCTGCCTGGCTTATTTCACTGAGCATCATACTCTCTAGCTCCATCCATGTTGTTGCAAATGGTAGGATCTGTTTTTTTCTTATAGCTGAATAATATTCCATTGTGGATATGTACCACATCCTCTTCATCCATTCATCTACTGATGGGCACTTAAGTTGCTTCCATTTCTTGGCTACTGTAAATAGTGCTGTGACAAACATAGGGGTGCATATGTCTTTTTCAAACTGAGCTGCTGTATTCTTAGGGTAAATTCCTAAGAGTGGAATTCCTGAGTCAAATGGTATTTCTATTTTGAACTTTTAGAGGAGCCTCCATATTTCTTTCCACAATGGTTGAATTAATTTACATTCCCACCAGCAGTGTAGAAGGGTTCCCCTTTCTCCACATCCTCACCAATATTTGTTGTTGTTTATCTTTTGGATGGTGGCAATCCTTACTACTGTGAGGTGATATCACATTGTGGTTTTAATTTGCATTTCTCTGATGACTAGCGATGTGGAACATCTTTCCATGTGTCTGTTGGCCATCTGAGTTTCTTCTCTGGAGATCTGCCTGTTCAGCTCCGCTGACCATTTTTTTATTGGATTATTTGCTCTTTGTTTGTTGACGTGTGTGAGCTCTTTACATATATTGGATGTCAACCCTTTATCGGATCTGTCATTTATTAATATATTCTCCCATACTATAGGATGCCTTTTTGTTCTATTGATGGTATCCTTTGCTGTACAGAAGCTTTGCAGCTTCATATAGTCCCACTTGTTCAATTTTGCTTCTGTTTCCCTTGCCTGGGGAGATACGTTCATGAAGAAGTCGCTCATGTTTATGTCCAAGAGATTTTTGCCTGTCTTTTTTCCTAAGAGTTTTATGATTTCATGACTTACATTCAGGTCGTTGATCGATTTCGAATTTACTTTTGTGTATGGGGTTAGAAAATGATCCAGTTTCATTCTCTTACATGTAGCTGTCCACTTTTGCCAACACCAGCTGCTGAAGAAGTTATTTCCCCATTGTATGTCCATGGCCCCTTATCTTATATTAATTGACCATATATATTTGGATTAATGTCTGGAGTCTCTATTCTGTTCCACTGGTCTGTGGCTCTGTTCTTGTGCCAGTACCAAATTGTCTTGATTGCTGTGGCTTTGTAGTAGAGCCTGAAGTTGGGGAGTGAGATCCCCCCACTTTATTCTTCCTTCTCAGGAATTCTTTGGCTATTCGGGGTCTTTGGTGGTTCCTTATGAATTTTTGAACTATTTGTACCAGTTCATTGAAGAATGCTGTTGCTAATTTGATAGGGATTGCATCGAATCTGTACATTGCTTTGGGAAGGATGGCCATTTTGACGATATTAATTCTTCCTAGCCAAGAGCATGGGATGAGTTTCCATTTGTTAGTGTCCTCTTTAATTTCTCTTAAGAGTGCCTTGTAGCTTTCTGGGTATAGGTCCTTCACTTCCTTGGTATTTTATTCTTTTTGATGCCATTGTGAATGGAATTGTTTTCCTGATTTCTCTTTCCGATAGTTCATCATTAGTGTATAGGAAAGCAACAGATTTCTGTGTATTAATTTTGTATCCTGCAACTTTGCTGATTTCAATATTAGTTCTAGAAGTTTTGGAGTGGATTCTTTAGGGTTTTTTTTATGTACAATATTATGTCATTTGCAAATAGTGACAGTTTGACTTCTTCTTTACCAATTTAGATTCCTTGTAGTTCTTTGTTTTGTGTAATTGTTGTGGTTAGCATCTCCAGTAGTATGTTGAATAACAGTGGGGAGATTTAACATCCCTGTCTTGTTCCCGATCTTAGAGGAAAAGCTTTCAGCTTCTCGCTATTTAGTATGATGTTGGCCACGGGTTTATCATATATGGCCTTTATTATGTTGAGATATTTGCCCTCTACAACCATATTGTTGAGAGTTTTTGTCATGAATGGATGTTGAATTTTGTCAAATGCTTTTTCAGCATCTCTGGAGATGATCATGTGATTTTTGTCCTTTTTGTTGGTGTGATGGATGATATTGATGGATTTTCAAATGTTGTATCATCCTTGCATCCCTGAGATGAATCCCACTTGGTCATGGTGCATGATCCTCTTCATGTATTTTTGAATTCAGTTTGCTAATATTTTGTTGAGTATTTTTGCATCTATTTTCATCAGGGATATTGCTCTGTAAGTCTCTTTTTTGGTGGGGTCTTTGCCTGGTTTTGGTATTAGGGTAATGCTGGCTTCATAGAATGAGTTTGGGAGCATTCCTTACTCTTCTATTTTTTGGAAGACTTTAAGGAGAATGGGTGTTGTGTCTTCTCTAAATGTCTGATAAAATTCCACAGTAAATCCATCTGGACCAGGGGTTTTGCTCTTGGGTAGTTTTTTTTATTACCGCTTCAATTTCATTGCTGGTAATTGGTCTGTTTAGATTCTCTGTTTCTTTCTTGGTCAGTCTTGGAAGGTTGTATTTTTCTAGGAAGTTGTCCATTTCTTCTAAGTTTTCCAACTTGTTAGCATATAGGTTTTCATAGCATTCTCTAATAATTCTTTGTATTTCTGTGAGGTCTGTCATGATTTTTCCTTTCTCATTCCTGATTCTGTTGATGTGTGTTGATTCTCTTTTTCTCTTAATTAGTCTGGCTGGAGACTTATCTATTTTTTTTATTTTCTCAAAGAAACAGCTCTTGGTTTCATTGATTTTTTCCATTGTTTTACTCTTCTCAGTTTTGTTTATTTCTTCTCTGATCTTTATTATGTTCCTCCTTCTGCTGACTTTACGCCTCATTTTTTCTTCTTTTTCCAATTTCAATAATTGTGTCTTTAGACTATTCATTTGAGATTGTTCTTCCTTCTTCAAATAGGCCTGGATTGCTATATAGGTTCCTCTTAAAACTGCTTTCACTTCATTCCATGGAAGTTGGGGCTCTGTGTTGTTGTCATTTGTTTCCATATATTGCTTGATCTCTTTTTTGATTTGGTCTTTGGTCCATTGATTATTTAGGAGCATTTTGTTAAGCCTCCATGTGTTTGTGAGCCTTTTTGCTTTCTTTCTACAATTTATTTCTAGTTTTATACCTTTGTGGTCTGAGAAGTTGATTGGTAGAATTTCAATCTTTTTGAATTTACTGAGGCTCTTTTTGTGGCCTATTATGTGGTCTATTATCAAAAATGTTCCATGTGCACTTGAGAAGAATGTGTATGCTGTTGCTTTTGTGTGTAGAGTTCTACAGATGTCTATTAGATCCATCTGTTCTAGTATGTTGTTCAGTGCCTCTGTGTCCTTACTTAATTTCTGTCTGGGGAATCTGTCCTTTGGAGTGAGTGGTGTGTTGAAGTCTCCTAAAATGAATACACTGCATTCTATTTTCTCCTTTAATTCTGTTAGTATTTGTTTCACATATGTTGGTGCTCATCTATTGGGTGCATATATATTTATAATGGTTATATCCTCTTGTTGGACGGACCCCTGTATCATCATGTAATGTCATTTTTTATCTCTTGTTAGTTTCTTTGTTTTGATGTCTATGTTGTCTGATACTAGTACTGCAACAACTGCTTTTTTCTCCTTGTTGTTTGCATGAAATATCTTTTTCCATCCCTTGAGTTTTAGTCTGTGCATGTCTCTGGGTTTGAGGTGAGTCTCTTGTAAGCAGCATATAGATGGGTCTTGCATTTTTATCCATTTTATTACTCTGTGTCTTTTGATTGGTGCATTCAGTCCATTTACATTTAGGGTGATTATTGAAAGAAATGTACTTATTGCCATTTCAGTCTTTAGATTCGTGGTGACCAAAGGTTCAAAGTTAGCTTCTTTACTATCTTACTGTCTAACTTAACTTGCTTATTGAGCTATTATCAACACAGTCTGCTGATTCTTTATTTCTCTCCCTTCTTATTCCTCCTCCATTCTTTATATGTTAGGTGTCTTATTTTGTGCTGTTTTGTGTTTCCTTTGACAGCTTTTGTGGGTAGTTGATTTTATTTTTTGCCTTTAGTTAGTATTTTGTTGGTCTGCTTTCTTTGTTGTGATTTTATTTTCTCTGGTGATGTCTTTTTAGCCTTAGGAATGCTTCTATATAGAGCAGTCCCTCTAAAATACCCTTTGAGGTGGTTTGTGGGAGGCACATTCCCTCAACTTTTGCTTGTCTGGGAATTGTTTAATCCCTCCTTCATATTTAAATGATAATCGTGCTGGATACAGTATTCTTGGTTCTAAGCCCCTCTGTTTCATTGCATTAAATATATCATGCCACTCTCTTCTGGCCTGTAAGGTTTCTGTTGAGAAGTCTGATGATAGCCTGATGGGTTTTCCTTTGTAGGTGACCTTTTTTCTCTCTCTGGCTGCCTTTAATACTCTGTCCTTGTCTTTGATCTTTGCCATTTTAATTATTATATGTCTTGGTGTTGTACTCCTTGGGTCTCTTCTGTTGGGAGTTCTGTGTACTTCTGTGGTCTGAGCAACTGTTTCCTCCCCCAGTCTGGGGAAGTTTTCAGCAATTATTTCTTCAAAGACAGTTTCTCTCCCTTCTTCTCTCTCTTCTTCTTCTGGTACCCCTATAATGCGGATATTGTTCCATTTGGATTGTTCACACAGTTCTCTTAATATTCTGTCATTCCTGGAGATCCTTTTATCTTTCTCTGTGTCAGCTTCTCTGCATTCCTGTTCTCTGATTTCTGTTCCATTAACAGCCTCTTGCACCTCATCCATTCTGCTTTTAAGTCCTTCCAGAGATTATTTTATTTCTGTATTCTACCTCCCGACTTTATGAGTTAGCTCTTGCATTTTTCTCTGCAGCTCCATCAGCATGGTTGTGACCTTCATTTTCAATTCTTTTTCAGGAAGATTGGTTAAATCTAACTCCCCAGGTTCCCGCTCAGGGGATATCTGTGTGATTCTGGTCTGGATCAAATTCTTCTGCCTTTTCATGGTGATAGAGTTAGTTGTGGGCAGTTGACGCATGTGTTAGATGGGAGAACAAAGTCCCTTCCTGCTTGCTCATTGCCTTCCTCTCCTGTGAAAATGGCCACCCTTAGCGGCTTGTGCTGGGTATCTGTGCAATGACGGGTTCTCTGAGTCTGGCCTGGGCAACTGCAGGGGGATTCTGTGCATGCTTGCTGTGGGTGTAGCTGGTCCCAGTCTACTGCTCCACTATGGCAGGGCCACACCAGAGGGAGAGCTGGCAGGAGGCTGTTTATCACCATTAGGGACCACAGAGCTGTGCTGCCACCCAAGGGTTTAGGGCCTTCAGAGTTCCCTGGGATTCCCAGCTGCTGGGCTGAGTGTGCTGGGACACTTCCATCCAGCTGTGAGGCTCCCGTCCCTTTAAGACTTTCAAAAAGCACTCACTTTTCTTTTGTCCCTGGGGCGCCAGCTGTGGGAACCTGGTCGCAGGTTTTACTGTTCCGTTTCCCTAGTATCCAGCACACCATGCACTGTGTGTCTGCTCTCCCAGTTCAGATGACTATGTCTGGGTATTTAGCAGTCCTGGGCTCCCACTCCCTCCCCGCTCTGACTCCTCTTCTCCCATCCGGGAGCTGGGATAGGGTCACAGTTGGATCCTGCCGGGCCCGGCTTGTATCTTACCCCCTTCGTGAGGCGCTGGGCTCTCACAGGTGTAGATGTAGCCTGGCTGTTGTACTGTATCTTCTGATCTCTCTTTTAGGAATAGTTGTATTTGTTGTATTTTCAGAAATCTATATGGTTTTGGGAGGAGATTTCTGCTCCCATACTCATGCCACCATCTTGGCTTCTCCCTATACAGTATACCATTTTATGAAGGCATTCTGAAGTCTCAAAGCCAGATAATGCCTTCTAAAGTTTATTCAATGCTCCTACTACAATTCTAACATATTTCTTTTTGTCCATGAATGGGGATGAGCACCTGTTGTCACCACTCAAACAATCCCCCTGAAAACCATAGACAGCCAGACAAAAGCACAAGAATTGGGATTCAAATGGGAAATTTGAATCCCAATTCTGTCACAATGTGTATGACTTTGGATAAGTTACTCAACCTGTATTTCCTCATTGGTAAAATGAGAATAATCATTGCCACATCACAAGGTTACTTTAACAATTAAATGGAAACCTATGTGACAGCACCCTGAAAGATAGCAGATGTAAAGAACCATCCAATGAATACCGGGAGAAGTATATTATGAGGATATACCCTGCCTACATTCTTCAGGTGAAATAACACAGAGTGCTATTTCCAGAAAGTGCCTAGAGAGCTCTGAGATACCAAGATAGCCTCATCCCCTCCATAGGGAACAGGTGTACCAAGATGAAAGGACTTGTCTTAAAGTCATACAGATAGACAACAGGGCACAGAGCTAGGACATAAATCCAGGTCTCCTGACATTTAGCCCACAGGCTTTCCTTGACACCAGTCTCTGGATTAAGCTCCTGTTGGTGGGAGGGGAAGGTGGTAAAGCCAGGGAAATGTTCCACAGCCTAAGGAAAATAGGAGACCATAGCTGTCTTAGATATCATTAAGTGACCCTCACTATTCTTCTGCCATTCCCAAAACTTCAGTTTTTGTTCCAGGCTGAACTGAGGTGCAACTGCTAGAATTCAGTCCAAGGTAGGGGCAAAAATTACCTGGAATTTTAGGATTAGTCAAATCCCATGCACCTGACTGGCAGAAGCATTCCTTCCAGGACATTCTTGATGGAAGATGTGATTGTGACAAAGGCATGGGAGTTAGCTGACCTCTGGGGTCCTGAATATTTCAAATAGTGATTTGGAAAAAACAGTTCCCACCTTACCTGAGTAGGGGGTACTCCAGTGTAGGCCTTGCTGGCTTCACTTTCTGAGCTTACTGTACCTACACCCAAATAAGAGTCCTGGGGCTTCCCTTCCTGGCTGGACCCCTGGGGGCCCCTGACTCTCTCCTGCTTCTCCATCTTGCTGGGCTTCTCCTTTAGCTTCAACATGATAGCTTCAGTGGTGACCCTCCTAACACAAGTGCCCAGTTTGGGAGACTGTCCTGCACTGTCATCTTCCTTGAGGAAGCTGACCACAGTCTCAGTGACTTCATCAAGCTCCTGAGAAAAGGAGGGCTCCCTGTTGAGGCATGGCAGTACTGGCAGCTGCATCAGTTCTGTGGCATTGGGTCATCCTGGAACTCTAAGACAGTTGAGGTTGTTGAAGCCAAGTCAACAATGGTACATGGACCTGCAAGTGCCTGGCCTGGCATCTTCTCACCCTCAATGCTCATTTCAAAGGAACAGGTGGCCTGCAAGGCCTTGGGGTGGTGGCACTGGCACCTCCCAATGGCACTGCCCCATAGCACAGTCTCAGAAGGCCTACAAGGCAGGTGAAGTGAGGAGGCTCCAGAGGAAGGACTCTCCAGAATGAAACCCTTTCTTCTACCAACAGAGAAGGTCTCCCTGTGGTGACCTATCTGTGGCTCCTCCTGGGATAATGCCCGCCATTTGTGGGCCACATCAGTCATGTTGCTGAAGAACTTAACAACACCACTGAAAGGTGTGGCCTTGTCTCTGCGCAGGTTCCCAGGGCTCTCCTCATAGCCCCCTTTCACTTTCTCTTCCAAGGTGGAACCCTCAAACTCCTGGATTGCAGAGTCTCCGGCTCTTGTGTGGGGTACCTCATAGTACCCATGGAACATGCTTTTCAGGTAGATTTTTGCCTGCCTGCCACTACTGGGTTGCTCATAGTCCTCTTTCTCCAAGGGGTCTTCCTCCATTTGGATGCCAAAATCTTCAAAGGCCATATCTTTCTAATTCACCCTCTTGGGAGTGTACACTAGCCTCTGCACATTTACAAAGAAGGGGTCCAGGCCTTCAAAGTGGCCTGCATAAGAATGGCAGAAAGGCTTCTGGGCTTCCTCCAATTTCTTCATCTGGTAGATACCTGGGGTCTTCTGGGGTTTCAGGGACTTTCTGCTCCTAGGGGGAGTATTCTTGTAGTTCCCAGTTGAAGGCTTCCACCTCTTGAATGACTTCATTCTATCCATTAATGTGACTTTAGGTTTCAATTCTGATGACTTGTAGGTATCTCCCAGCAAAATCATGGACTGGGGTCGCTCTCACTGACTAGAAGCCCCTTTTCTGTGGTTCACAAAATTCCAGATCTTCTTGACTTTGGTTTTCTTCTTGTTCTGACCATTCTCTTCCCTGGGATTCAAGTCACCCTGTTCATATCGCTCAGACTCCTGCAGCCCCACCTCCCTAGCCAGGTCTTCTACCTATGGGTGGCCTGAGAAGACCTGAGCCAGGTAACCACTGGACACCAGCTCAGAGAGGGAGGCAGTTTGGCATCAGCTGAGAGTCTCCATGGTCAGAGCAGGGGATGGGGCTACCAAGGCACTGAGTGAAGGCTGGCCAGTTATTTCCAGCTGAAAGGAAGAGAGAGAGAGAGGACAGCCAGATTAGGCAAAGCCACAAACAAGGTTCTTTAGAGATTTGTCACAAATACATAGAATATACTTTGTTACCACTGAGCCACCAATACTTCAGGAACTTTACAAAACAAAACTTCATTAATTTAGACCCCATTAGTTTAGGTTGTGGAGTGGAGGAGAGCACACCTTATCCTATTAAATGCAAATATACTTGAGAGGGACATAAATTGAAGCTATTATTATTGAAAAACTATAATTTTGACAACTGAGCAAATACATTAAAAAAAGAAACCAAAGAAAGATAAAGCCAAAAGTTACTTTAGAAGCCCATCACTTTGATCCTCTCACTTTGCAGGGAGGCACTGGAGATCCAGAGAAGACATCCGTCTTGCCTAAGCCAAAAATCCAAGAGAGCAGCAGGTAGGGATCCTGTTCATGCCTCCCCCTCTCATTTGCTCCTCCATTCATTCAGGAAACCAGCAGGTAGTGATTTCACCTGCTAGATCACCTGCTCAGCAGTGATCCCTCAGCTATGCACTGGACACCACTGAGATGAAACAGACACATATAGCTAGTCACCCAAGCTCACAGGCTACTGGAAAAGACTAGTGGATATAAAACCAATTACAATACAGCCTGATAAGTGTTATAATAGAGCTATGCAAAAAAGGCAAAAGGCAAAAGAAGCTTAGGGGGAAGAAGGGAAAGGACAGAAAACCAATAAGGGGGTGGGGGCTGGAGAGAGGTAAACAGAAGATTAAGGGCCCCCAAGTATGCTTGCCAGAATAGCTGTCACTAGAACTAGGAGTTCACTCATGAAGGAGGTTCTTTCCATACAGGGTTCTTTGTCCTGTGTGCTGCACAGCATGAGAATAGGTTGTGGAGAAAGGGGAACCCTCCTATACTGCTGGTGGGAATGTAAATTAGTTCAACCATTGTAGAAAGCAGTATGGAAGTTCCTCAAAAAGCTCAAAATAGAAATACCATTTGACCCAGGAATTCCATTTCTAGGAATTTACCCTAAGAATGCAGCAGCCCAGTTTGAAGAAGACAGATGCACCCCTATGTTTATCGCTGCACTGTTTACAATAGACAAGATATGGAAGCAACCTAACTGTCCATCAGTAGATGAATGGATAAAGAAGATGTGGTACATATACACAATGGAATATTATTCAGCCATAAGAATAAAACAAATCCTACCATTTACAACAACATGGATGGAGCTAGAGGGTATTATGCTCAGTGAAATAAGCTAGGTGGAGAAACACAAGTACCAAATGATTTCACTCATATGTGGAGTATAAAAACAAAGAAAAACTGAAGGAACAAAACAGCAGCAGACTCACAGAACCCAAGAATGGACTAACAGTTACCAAAGGGAAAGGGACTGGGGAGGATGGGTGGGAAGGGAGGGATAAGGGTGGGAAAAAAATAAGGGGGCTTTAAGATTAGTGGGTATAATGTGGGGAGGGGTACATGGGGAGGGCTGTGCAACACAGAGAAGACAAGTAGTGATTCTACAGCATCTTACTACGCTGATGGACAGTGACTGTAATGGGGTATGTGTGGGGGACTTGGTGAAGGGGGGAGCCTAATAAACATAATGTTCTTCATGTAATTGTAGATTAATGATATAAATAAATAAATGAATGAATGAATGAATAAATAAATAAATAAATAGATAGATAGATAGATAAATAAATAAATAAAATTTTAAAAAAGGAAATCCACCAGCAAAGGGGAGGACTACAAAGCTGTTTTTCCCTATGGGATGACTTAAAAGTGGACACAGGAAAAATGAATTTAAAAAAGATCCTATTTGTTCTTAACATTATCTTATGAGTCTCAGGATATAAGTAATATTCAAAAGGGATATATGAGGTGAAATCTTCATCAACAGATTTGATAAGATTCACTGGATCAAAAAGACTTTTCCTAAGACAGAAGTAGAACCATCAACACAGCATGCAACAGCAGGGGCCTCCTTTATCGCAAAGCAAACACATTCCATGTAGCTATGGAGCACTTATCACCCTGTATTCTGATTACCTGTTTATGTGCTTGATTCCTCCACAAGCCCAGGAGCTTTTCCAGAATAAATACTGGGTCTTGTTTGCCTTACTACCCTCAGTGCTTACCAAGTGCTCGACATATAGTTGGTGCTCAATAATGAGAATCTGAATCAGGATTTGGCAAACCAAGGCCTGCCACCTGTTTTTGTAAATAAAGTTTTCCTGGAACACAGCCATACTCATTTGTTTACATATTTTCTATGGCTGCTTTTTTGCTACAAAATCAGAATGTGTAGTTTTGATTGAGACTGCAATGGACTTCAAAAGTCTAAGGTATTTACTATCTAGCCCTTTTCAAAGAAAGTTTGTTGACCCCTTGTCTTGCCAATGGGTTTCAGCCACAGGCAAGTTCGCTATGGATTCAATGTGACCAAAGAAATTGAAAAATGTTCTTGGGGTGAAAGGGTTATACCCAACTTTATTTCCAGGTGGCAGGTCAGTCACTAAAATCCTGTTCACTCAGAGCAAGTATGCATGCAGCAAGCCAGTCTCTGCCTCTGGGCCCCTCTGTCCACACAGCCATCCTGTGGGTCTCTGTCCGCACAGCCATCCTGTGGGCCTCTGTCCGCACAGCCATCCTCTGGGCCACTCTGCCTGCACAGCTGTCCCACACAGCTGTCCTCTGGGCCTCTGCACAGTTGTCCCACACAGCCATCCTCTGGGCCTCTGTCCTCGGCACTGCCACCACTCCAGCCTCTGCTCTGCTCTCCTGTAATCTTGCAGCCCTGCCACCGTGTCGCACCCAGAGCACTGGACAGAGCTCTTTATATAGACTCAACAGCCATGTATTGCCCACAGGTGTGCAGTGACCTAGTTAACCATGGCCAGGTGAGAATCCTGGCTACAGGACCTCTCATTTTATCCACACCCCTGCTCTAAGTAATATTTTGTATGTATAGTCCTTTATAGTTTACCACTTTTACATCCCTCTAGAGTGGGTATCTATCTATGGCTCAATTTTACAATCACAATGGGACTCAGGGGAATGAACTGATTTGTATCACTCAGAAGTATGCCACACACATGGGTAGGATTTAGCAATGGAAACATTTTTCATTTATCTAGTCAAAGGCTCCTGGCCCCAAAGGCAATGAATGGCAAAGCTAGGACGAGAACACTAGGCATCTGGTGCCAAGTCCAGCGCTCACTGTCCTGTGCCTGACTCCTGCCTTACTAGTCTTAGGTAGGATAATGATAGATGATTCACTGCTAATTCTTACCTAGGTGTCATTTCATGATACAAGAGTTGTTAGGACAACAGACATTCATTCAAAAGTTCACTTGGCATCTGAGCACAGTTCTAAATATCAAGCAATCTTGCAATCACCTTTCTGTGCCATATAAGTGCTTTGAATGTTAAATGAGATAATGCCTGACATAACAAGGGTGATAATGACTTCAGCACTTACTCTGAACCAAGCACTGGGTCAAACACTTTCTTTATAGTATCATCTCACAAATCCTCATCATGCAGCTAAGAAGTATTATTATGATTCCCATTTTAAGTGCAGAAAAGAAGGCTCAGAGTAGAGAGGTAGCTTGCCCAAAGTTACAAGTGGAGCCAGGATTTCAACCAGGTGTGCTTGATGTCAGAGTCTGTGTTCTTTATCACCATCCACACTGCTCCTGTGAGTATAACACAGTATCTGGCACATCATACAACTTAATTCCTAGGATTGTGTTCTACTTTTTTTAATCAGAAGCTAATACTTATTAAATGCTTGCTATGTAGCAGGCATTGTGTTATGTGCTTTCTTAAATATTGACTAGTGGAAAATTCAAAACCATAAAATAAGGTTAGTATTATTATTGTCTCCATTTTGCAATGGAGAAATCTAAGGTGCAGAGAGACTAAGAAACTTGACAGAAGTCATACAGCTAGCAGATGGATGGTTGGCACTGACAGTGTGCTTGGTACCCTAGAGGAGGTGGGGCATAGGATTCAGGCCTGGAAGAAACCTGGAAAACCACCTAGTAGTTTATGAGCCACCCCCTACTCTAGACAGAGTGGTACAAGGGAAAGAGAATGGGTGTTGGTGTTCTTGAGACCTGGGGGAATAATTCCCACTTTCCCCCAAATGGTAAAGCATGAGCTACATTCTAGATTATTTACTTTCTATGGAAAGACGAATAGGGCAATCCGCTGCATGGGGATAAGCCACAGGCAACTGGTGCTTTGAAGGCTCCTTAAGAAGAAAATAATGGTGGTGATGGATTTCTTCCTTGGGGCTCACCTCTAATTGTCCCACATGGATCAGACCACTTATTTTGCCCTTGCACAGAAGAGAGAAACAACAGGTTACCTTACTACCCTTCCCCTACTTCTCAGATTTCATTTCAAATCTTAGATTTATAGGCACAAGACTTCTAATCAAACCCTATCACTTCCTCACTGTGACCTTGGGCATACTGTTTCCTCTCTGCAAGCCTCAATTTCTATATCTGTAAGGAAAGACACCCCCCACAGTGGCTTAGTATGAGAATTAAATGTGACAACATTCCAAAGTCCCCAGCATAATGCCTTACATTAAGCAGATAGCAGGATGGAAACTCTACCTGTCATACAGTCACCTAAGTGAGTGGTAAACCTGGACTATTTTCAGAAATCCCACATCACTCTGATACACCTTCTCTGAGGTACTTCCCCAGTAAGTGGCCCCTTGGAAGCTGCCTGTCTGGTTTTAAAGAGAAGAGACAACTGGAGTCTGAAGACCTGGGAGCACACAAAACCTGACCTCAGCCTGAAGGATGGCTGAAAACATAGACCAACAGCAAACCAGTGGAAATGTGGCCAGAGAGAAGTCTTCACTGAACCATCCCCAGAAGGGAGGCAAAGCTGGAAAGCTGCAGTTTCAGGTGGCTGGCTTGCCTTTTTTAATTGTTTTGCCTGTCTTGCAGTCTTGCTAAACTCAGGACTCTTTCAGTTTCGCTCTCCTATAGTTTCCTGCCACCCCAGGGCACAAGTAGCTGCATACTTAGTTCTTTCCTACCTAAAATCCAGTAGTGCTTTGGAAATCAATAATAGGATAACAAAGTTAGACCTCATCTAATCTAATCTCTCATTTAGAAGACAAGGAAACTGAGGCCCAAAAAAGATTAAATGACTTAAAGACATCCATTCACAAAAGTCATCAAGAAAAGGCTCATTTAACTCAAATGTATTTTGTTTCAGAAGGCAGGGAAATGTGTAATAAGTATTTAAATAAGCTTTTATATAATAAAAGACTTTAAATGTTTTAAAAGCTTCAGTATTGAACTAGGTTTACTTCAGCTGTGTGGACAACTCACCTCTGTGACTGTCTCATTCTACTAAATTGTTTAAGAAATGAAAAATATCTTTATATAAGTTCTATACATCAGGAAAGGATTTAACAACAAACATCTGCATTTAGTTACCTTTTACAACTGCCATATTGGATTAGCTGCCTCAAAATTCAGGACTCTATCTGGTTTCAGTGACTTCACAAGTACCTGTTCTAAATTACTTCATCAATAAAATAACTGATCAATCTTCTAATTTCCTGAATTCCTTTCAAAATAAACCACTGCTTTCAGATGTCATATGTGTACCACTAACAACTGAAACAAAAACCTGGAGCTAGGTTATGAATAATCCCTATGTATTATGCAAATATCAAGAAACAAATAGGCACTCTTTTCAGGGAAAATTGTTAAGCTGTCCAACTTAGTTACTAAAATTGTGACTGAAAGAAATTTGATTTCAATCAAATCTAGACATCAGCACACAGCACCTAGTGCTCCAGTAGGCCCTGACAGAATTCAGGCAGTGCGACTAATGTAAGCATACTCTTCATGTCATCTTTCTAGTCCTTTTTTTGTCTGGTTGCCATGGAAACATGTGAGGTAGGAGAGCATTCAGGATGT